AAATCAACAAAGGGTACATAATTATTCAACAATTGTAAATAATTATTTGCACTAGGTCTAGTCATAAAATATTAAAATCTTGGTCTTTAACTCAATCAGTACTTAATATAGAAAACAACAATTAAAAATAATTAATAAATTATAGGTAATATTAGTCTTAAAATAATAAAAATCTTATGGAATAATAAAACATAAATGTTTAGCTGTCCAAAGCAAATTTTCTAACGTGGTAGAGCCATGCTGCAGTTATATTACGGGAGAGTAGTTGTAGCACGAATGGATCGGCTCAACCGGGGAAGAACCACGCTCTCATCGGAATATCGGCATCAAATAGTAGCTTAACCTTTAAGTAGTGACGTGGGTGTCTCACAGACGGCCTCGATGCAAAAATCAGTCTCGTGGCGTTAATTTTTTAAAGACGCTCCCATCCCTCCCGCTACATTCCGGTTTCGGTGGCGTGATCGGTCAGTCGAGTGCTCGCGGTCGTGGCAGCAACACCTGTACCTGTACGACCGTTTGGTGTCCCTGAGACGTGAGGTCAGTATTTGCGTAAATGATTTATTAGACGTCACTACAGTATTAGTGTATTTTTTCTAAGTGTCTCTTATTCGTTACCTCATTGTGTACGTTATTATTTTAGATGGATCAACCTGGACCTTCAGGAAACAGTTGAAAGCGAAAACGAGTAGCTCTAAATACTTCGCCAAATGAAAAGACCTTAAGTCAGTGGATAGAGGCTGAGTTGGAGCGAGACTTCAGTGATGTGGACGATGAAGAAGTGGATCCAGATTTCTGTTTGCACAGTGATCATGACTCGGCTTCAGAACATTCTGAGGATGAAGAAACTCAATCTCAACGACAAAGATCACCCCGCAGTTCAGTTGCGATGCAAGATTCAGGTCTATCTTCAATACTAGATTACAAGATAATATACACACAGAATCCCAAAGATACTACATAGGTAAGAATGGTTTTAAATGGTGAAGCGATGAACCAGTGATGCGTAACTGTCGTTCACTAAGCCACAACTTGGTTGACACACCTAGATCACAGCCTAGAGCATTCACCAACCTAGAAACCTTGTGGAGACATTTTATGGATGACGATATTACTGACAAAATAATTGAATATAAGACTGACAATGAAACGGATTCTTAGCGAAGACTTACCGCCAGAACCTAGCCGCATTGAGTCAGCTGTTGGTGAAAATGGCAAAAAGATTTGTAAGGTGCGTCCAGCAAGGCTGAAGCGACGCACAAGGTACAAATGCGTTGCATGTCATAAGCCTATACGCTTAGGCTGTTCCAAAACAATTTGCAGCGACTATACTGACTGAGACTGAATTTAGAAGACTGATTCTGTGGTAGTTCCTATATTATTTCAGTAATTAAATTGAAGAAGTAAGAAATTTTATTTTTTGTTAAAAAATAAGTCTGTTTGTTTATTTCGTAACACTCAATTCGTATTATTATAGAATATGATTTTTTTCGTAACTTTTAATTTAATGCTTAAATTGGGTTTCATTTTAGCCTATATCATTAAAAAGAGGGTTTTTATTTTGATTTTATACAAAAAAATGTCTAATTAATAATTAAGTTCATACTATTGACATAAATTGCGTAGACGTCTATAAAACGTCACATCACCATTTACGAGTATGAGTCATCCAAACTACATCACTACTTAAAGGTTAATGCTGCTGTGTTTCGTATGGTAAGTGTAGAGAACCGGAGACCCTCTTTACTGGAAACGAGGCATTCCATCTAAGTCCTCACGGGTGAGAGCGCATCTGCATTTTGATTCGTAATCGAGGATAGATGTAAATGTATATGGGCCACAGCAACCACTTACCATCAGATGGACTGTCTGCTCGTTTATTACCCTGTGCTATAAAAAATAAATTAACCGTAAAAAGCTATAAAGTGTATTCCTACCTCACTGAGGTAGAGTTAATCGAAAATGAAAAACTTTGGTTTCACGATAATTTTAAATTTCCGAAAATTCATCATCGTCGACGCTTTCCAAAATCCGAATGAGTTCTGAGGAATCGTTCATGTTGCACTGCACTAATTTTCCCGCTAATCGCTTATGACGTCATCAGCGTGTCGTCTATACTTGACCACGGCGCCCAGTGAACTGATTTTCGATGTCGCGCTAAGGATGCGCCAGAGTTGAGATATTAGATTTATTATGCGAAGATAATTTGTTAATTTTTTTTTAATTCATGTAGCTAATTATAGTTTTATATTTCTAACCTTTTGTTTTATTTAAATATCAATAATAATAGAAAAAAATAACACGTTTGAGCTTAATTTTGAATAGTTTTCAATAAATTTATGGCTAACGCATTACAACACTAGCGGTCTAACATAGACGACTTTGGCTAGCTTGCTACATATTTATTTATCTATGACTTTGGCGTGCTGGACATAGTATTTGCTTAGATAAAAATCCATTTTTTTTTAGTTCAATGTTTCTTAGTACTTGTGGCTCTAGGAGACTTGTTTTTTATCCTCACATGTTGCTGGGTTATTCCTTTTTGAGGGGTGTAGAATTAAGATACCAATAATAATTTTCCAATGTCTATATTTCATATTTTTGTGGGCCGGGTTTTTTGTCATCTATAGACGTCGTTGGCGCTCAGGGCACGCAAGGTGCTGGTCACGTATAGACGACTTTGGCGCTCAAAACGTTAATGGGCTTGTAATCGGAGCATGCACCGTCTACTACGACCTTGATACTCCGATCAGTAAGAAAACTGATGATCCAATTGCACTATTTCTCGGAAAGTTCGTGGGAAGGAAGCTTCGTAAGAAGCACCTTGTGCCAAACCCGATCGAAGGAAGGAAACTAACGGCCCATGTTTCCAACAAAATGGACGGAGGCAGTAGAGTCTAAGGGGGAGCCCCTTAGACTTTTATGAGTTGGGTAACCCAGATCACCAGCCGAGCGACCGCGACGGAAACCGTATTGGCGGTCATTAATCAGCTGGTAATCTTCAAGGTACCTTGAAGCTGGCAGTTCATTATTGTTTCCATTCTTTTTGAGAACAAAGAGGCGATAGGGATGGACCTATAGTTCTCCGTAAATTTACCGTTAAAAAAGCACAAAAATAACAATTGTGAATTTTAAATATAAAACCTTTGGAGTTGCCACCTTTTGTATAAACTATTAGCAACTATTATACGAAATAATAATACGTATTCTGCAATGTCTATTAATTAAATATCTGAAAGATTTAATGGCTTGTCGAAGTTTTCTTAAACATGATAATTTACGTCGACAATGGATCGTAACTACAGGACGAACAGATTGGACACCAAAACCGTTATCAAGAATTTGCAGCAGACATTTAAGGATAAAATTTTAATTAAAAAAGAAAAACTTACTATGCTATTACCTCATGCTGAACTTACATACTAAGTTTCACTCACTAGACATATTAAGTTTCGTTCCAGGTATTATAAGATTTTTATATATGTTTAGCGTTTTACAACTATTTAGTACAATTAACCTACACATACAGGAAGGGCTTCAGGGAGTCCCTAGCCACAGCTATGGACTCTCCGAACCCTCCCATAACCCTCTCTTCCGACGTCCTCGACAGTATGGAGAAAATAGACACCGCGGTCGAAAATCTCACCACACTAATAAAATCCTCCCTTAAGGAGAATGAAAGGGTTGTCCTGTTTGCTAAAAATAGTTTTCCCCTAGATATTAGCAACCTGATCAAAGCCAAAGAAGATGCCCTCCGTGGAGCTGCACGCTATCCCACTTCCGAATATAGACTTGCGGCCCACAGCCTTCAACGCAAACTCCGTTACCGACTCAAAGATTTTAGAGACCTCGAAAAGAGCAATCTCACGGAGAATATCTCCCCCTCTCATACAGCGTACTACCAGATGGCTAGAGCCCTCCGGATATACGCTATCACTCATACCCCCCCCCTCTCTCGTCCCGATGGCTCTATTGCCTTCGAAGACGAAGAAAAGGCTGAGTGCTGTCCCGTCGAATGGTGTCAAACTAGCCCTCTTCGCAGATGACACAGCTCTCTAAAGGCAACTCACTGCTACAGATTCGGAACAAGATCCAAAAGTCAGTTAGTGAATTAGTAGCTTGGTTCCAAAAATGGCGTATCGACGTAAACCCGGAGGAGAGCTCCGCCGTTTGCTTCGAACATAAATGACGCCGTCTCATTACCATGCCGCCAATCAGGATCTTAGGAACCCCTGTCCCATGGCAAACAAAAGTCAAATACTTAGGCGTCACCCTTGATGCAAGGTTCTTTCGAGCCCCATATCAAGAAAGTAATTTGCAACGCGCGATTTTACATGGGTCATGGGATCTTTCATGGCTGCCTATGCAGCCTCTCTTCACACTCGCTATAGTGTGCGCAGGCCGAGAAACTCTCTCTCGGACCCCCCCCCCACCCAACATAATAAATAATGAAAAAATCTTAAAATACAATTAACCTGCACATAAGCACTTCCCAAGGGTAGCGATAAATTAATATAAAAGTACATTATTTTATTTGTATTTAAATAATTTACAAAGACTGAAGAAGACAAAATAGGGCGAGGGGCGCATTATTGGGTCTAGCGACGATCTCGGGCGGCAGCGAATCATCTACGTCACTTCCGAAATCATAAATTGTACGTAAGTGACACAAATAAAACAAAATATTGAACACAATATATGAATTTATTAACCTGAACAAAGGCACTACCTTAAATAAGAAGGCACCTTTCTGCTGATACTGTTCTAATGTGACAACAATATTGTAAATAATCCTTTTAGCGTCTAAAACTTTAACAAATTCACTGAAGCAAAAGTTTCTATTTACATTATAATTTACGCAATACATTCTTGTTTCTGAATATAATCTTTTACAATAACAGCAAACAATACTATGCATTAGGTTATCCATTTTGCAATATTAAATGTGAAAAATATCTTAATATTGAGCTTTAAATTGGTGTTTTATATCATAATTTGTTCGATTAAAATTCGTTGTCAGTTAGTACAAATTGGGCAGCGCTGCCGTAGTCTAGGATTCGATGCTTGATAGCCTTGAGCTTGGCAGTATAGTGCTTATGTATCTTTGTATTGGTCCTCTTGTAACGGAGGGATGTTATCATTTTATCAACAATGTAATCCAACCAAAGTATGTTTGTGTAGGGCTCAAAGTTCTTCCAGTCGTTACTGTAAGAAAAGTTTTTTTAAATAAATAACATATTTCTTATTATGTCTTATGGAACTATGAGTAAACTTTCATTTCTGAATAATTTAATAATAAAAAAAAATTTGTTAGTTATTGTTTTTATACATAAATTGCATAAGCATGGATGTGTTCTTGATTGTGGTATGATCAGAGAAAATGACGCGATGCGGACAGCGTACTAAATATCGATTTATTTTCTGTTCTCTAGGTGTTCTGTAGTGGTGTACCACCCGCTTGTGTGCATGCATTGTGAAACACTTGTATAAAGCTTCCATATCTCATTCACTCTGGCAATATTTTAATATGTTTAAAAGTGAATTGTTTTTAGAGAATCAGGCCATGATATCAGAGATCTATAGTAGTCGTCGTAATGTTCGGTGTAGTGCAGTGCACGTGCATGAGACGCTCATCCATATGGAGATAAACAGGCGATAGGCAGAAGCGTCTTCCTAATAATGGCTAAAAATAAAAAATTGTGCTTGCCATGCGTGGCAAATATGGCAAATACCCCTTTATGAGGCAATCTATGGGGAAGGACTATGTTCAGAAGTGGACTTTAATAGGCTGTTACGGTAACAGTAAAGGCGAGTAGTCTAACGAAAAGAGGTGCAGTACAGGGGTAGTAAGCGCACTAGTGTACTGTCAGTCGGCATTGTAGTGTAAGGTAGTACAGCGTGTGTAGTGTGCGTAAAATTAAAGGTAGTGTTTACAGTAATAGCGTAAGGTGTACAGTATAGTGCAGTGTGTGCAGTAGAGTGTGCAATTTGCAAGGTATAGTGCACGTACCAGAGACGCTCGCGCATGAGGCGGTACACGGTGAACTGGCGGTCGCCGACCGCGTCGAAGAGAGCTTCGTCCGTCGACAGGTCGCAGAAGAGCGCGCCGCCGCGAAGCGACAGACGCGACAGCGAGTAGTCGATTATTGTCGCCCGCACACCGCAACAACCAATGCGGTGTGTGCGGCCACGAAGCACAAACGTAGCGAACTGCGGACAGATTTATCGTTTACTACTGTTATGTAGACAAGTATCAATCTTTCATTTCTCGTGACAGAATCATTATAGAACATTTCGTCACGCGTATCGGTACAGATTCGGATCGATCATTCAAATGGATTATTTCAGGCTAAGTATTCTATTTGACTTTGTAATAGCGCCATCTACTACATGCTTATAGGTAATTAAGTCACATCATCGAACAAAAATGTATTGACTTTCAAGGTGGTAAGTACAATAGACACTAGATGGCATAAACACAAAAACAACATACATCGATCTGTATATTATAAATGGAATGGACAAACATGATAGCTTTATTCAATATTATTATATATTTTATTTATTTAATAAATTTGTTTACTTTAAAATTTCATTCTTAACAATACAATTTCATCTTACTGATTCATATTAATTTTTTTGTGTTTAGGCCATTAGTATCTATTGTGCGTACCACCTTGAGTCTCATCAAGTTTGGTCAGACTTCGATAAAATGAGAATGACTTTAATCTTTAACTCTCGACCTGAGATGCATAAGTCGGATTTCAAGATCGAAACAAATTAACTTTAATAGTCAGCTGAAACCAGTATCTCGAGCTCTTTCTAAGCATATAACAATCATCATTCTATCTCTTTTCGTTCTGATAGATTTACAAATGCATAAGGTCGGATCTGTCGAGTTTTTGAATTTATATCGTGCATTAAGGCTTGATAAGAACTACAGTATTTATGCTTAAAATTTTGGTATTACTAGATGGTCGAACATTGACTTCAGTTTTTATGCTTTTAAATTATTTTACGCGTATTGCTAATTGGTCATTCGACTTTATTCTACAAAGATTGTTGGTAAAAATAATACGTATTTTCAGATAGAACTTTATGTCTTTTGAAATAAAATAATAATATGTCGTACCTTGAGACATACTATTATGCCTCAAAAATTTTATTTGTTCGTTTAAGGTCTACAAACAAAATGAGACCTTATGTTTTTAAAAAGTGCTACTTTATCGTTGTACAGAAATGCACATGTGAAAAAAACCTTATGCCATTGATTTTGTGACCGCACACCGATGCGATACTGTAACATCGGACATTATCGCCAGTCACTCGGTCGTTTTCAAAGACAAAGTAAAATGGCAAATAATGAAGATAATAATTTAATTACTTTAGAAAATCTTCTAGGTCCAATAAATCTTCAGTTTTTTGTGAATGTTCTAAAGAACACGACTGTTTTTCTGCTGCCAGGACAAGGCAAATAATTCCTACTGTTTATTCTTCAATAGACAACCAATAACGAAGACTTATTAGTCTTCGTTATTTGATCAATGTAGTCCTAAATTAGCGAATTCCAATAATATGATTATGATTCAAGAACGGGTGAGTACATCTGCTAATAAAAATAATTACCTTGGAAACTGTAATTTAACAGACAGGGATCCTACAACAGGTATTTAACTCTACCAATTTTTGATGAAAGTATTATTTCTGATGCTACTATTAATGAAAATATAATGAACTCTAACGGAGTTATGGTTGCAGATATGAATGGGAATATAGATGTACCAGCCCTTTCAAAATCTAAGACAAGAAAGAAAGTTAAGAATGTAACTAAATGGAAAAGAGTTGCCGCTAAAATTGCACGGCTGAAAGTTTCTCCCTATCACTCAACTGTAGCTAAAAAAGAACTGAAATAGACGGTCGTGAGTTGAAACCCCCATGTACGTGTAAATTTAAATGTTATGAGAAAGTTACTAATGAAACAAGAATGCAAATATTTCATGAATTTTGGGAAAAAATGCTTGTCTAATCACAAAAAAATGTACCAGTTGGGATCAACGTCGCCAGTTTATATCTCTAACGTCACAAAAAAATTTACCAGTTGGGATCAACGTCGCCAGTTTATAGTCTCTAACGTCACAAAAAAACTAAAATGCATGATTACATTAGATGAGAACTTACACACTGACTGAAGAAAATTTTCTTACGAATATAGACTAATTATCGATTCTAAGAGTGAAAAAATATGCGCGAATATGTTTCTTAATACGCTTTCTATAGGAGAAAAATTTGTTAAGGTGAGCTTGGAGAAACAACTCAATGGAGATCTGGTAGCTCCAGATCAGAGGGGAAAGCATATTCCTGTTATTGTAAAATTTGATCATTAACTTATATCCATGTTATGAGAGCCATTATTCACGACAAAAGAGCGGACAAAATTTTTTAGGACTGGACTTGAATATCCCTACTTTGTATAAACAGTATAAAGAAATGATGGTAACTAAAGAGATCCCTCCTAATTTGGTGGCCAAAGAATGGCTGTACCTAAACATTTTTAACACTAAGTTCTATTTAAGTTTCAAACTACTATCAGTCGATACTTGTGATGATTGTGATGCATTTGAGAGAAAGATTTTAGATGTTGTGGATGAAGAACTGAAAAGAAATATAGAAAAATAAAAGGAAATTCACGACAAGGCTGCTGAAAAAAGATATTACTTGAAGAGTATTGACAAAAAAGAAGCAGAAGCAAGTTTGGGTGAAAAAAAGTACTGATGTTTGATTTGCAGAAGTGTTTGGCCACGCCAAATTTATAGTAAATATTTTTATCTACGAAAGCTTTGGACACTAAATTTGACAATATTTGATTCAACAGCTAATAGCGCTGTAAACATTTTATGGTCTGAAAATATAGGTGGCAGAGGAGGAAACGAAATAACTTCTTGTCTGATTCGATGGGTTGAAGAAAATAGCGAAAACTTACTAAACTAAGAGAAATAACTCTGTGGTCTGATAACTGTGCAGGCCAAAACCGAAATTTGATGATCGTGATGGCTTACATGTGGATATTGCACAAACACCCTCAGCTGAAAATAATAAACCACAAATTTATGCTGAAGTATTATACACACATGGAAGTCGATCAAATACACTCACAAAACGAAAAAAAAAACCAATTGAAAACAACGCCGAGAAACTCCGAGACTGGTCTCAATTTATTCGAACTTGTGGAGGAAGGAGAACCTTTAACGTCTATGACATGCAACTTCATAATTTTAAAGATGTTACATGTTTGTATAAGAAAAATGGCCCTTTTCTTTCCAGAAAGAAGAATAAAGATGGCAAGGATTTTAGAATATCAGAATGTGTTTGGCTTCAAGTTAAACAAGACCAGCCCGGAATATTATTTTATAAAAATACATTCGAAGGAGATTTTTGCGAAATATCTTTCATCCGAAATGCTTCTAAGCAGATTCAGATTCCCAAAAAATTTACCTAGTGTAAATCAAAGTGAAAAACCCATATCTACTGCAAAATACAACGATTTGATGTGTCTTTTACAATGGATTCCACATTAATTCCATACATATTATAAAAATTTAAAACATTTGGAGAGTGAGGCAGATTATCCTGAAATTTATTGAATTTAATAATTTTTACTGAGAAGAATATGTTTTTATGTATAAGCTTTGATTATTTTTATAATTAAATTTTGTTAATTCCGACTTTATGTTCATACATAATTTAAATGCTACATACATAGATATCATAACAAGATTGACCTTAATTAAAGTTCTATTTTTTTAACAAACATAATGTTACATGTTGTAAAAAAGCTTATAATACACGTTCAATTTACCAAAAAATTGCAGGCATAAAGTTGGATCACCACGTTGAATTAAAATGATCAGTCTTTTTATAACTCTTACTAAGTTGATGTCACCAAAACTTTTTTGTTAATAAAATATTATATTATTCTGTGACAGTTTTTATATACTCAGTACTTCCTTAATTTTACTGTTAGCTTTATCATAAACAATAGATTTGACAAGATTTCATCAAAAAATTTCTTTTGGTTCTCCTCTAAACTTGTTAAATTCCATATCCGACCTAATGCGCCTCAGGTCGAGAACTATAGAACAAAATAGACCGCTATTTATTACAAAGCTAAGCAATTTTAGTGGAAACAAAATATTGTTTTGATTTAGAACAGTGAAATTTAGGCCTTGCATGTCTAAAAATAAGGATTGTGAAGTTTATTTGCCATAAAATTAAACTTTTATCTGTCCTGTGAACGAATATTTTCCAAAGCAACAAATGCAGTAATTTGAAGCCCAATAAAGCAGAGCAATGCTCATTTTTAAATTACAACCTGTAAATTTTTATTTTCGCCTAACTTAACAAAACTTTCGAATACATGCACTGCATTGTATACCCTACACTAACAACAATTCATTCAAATCATTCGGGATTCGGTCACACCAATTACGAGTTAAAAAGATTCCGTCAGTTGTTTGTGATTGCTTGTACTGGAACATTCAAAAACAGATGAATGAAACATCAATACTTTTGAGTGTACCAGCTCAAACAAACAAATCATTCATGATATTAAATTTACTTTCTGTCCAATATTCATGTATAAATTTATAAAGCCTTACTTATAATTCCTTATTTAAATTGTAAGTCCTCTAACATTCTAAACAAACGTTATTACAGTTCTATCCAGTATAATACTTTGATGAACTGATTCAAGTGGAAAGAAGGGAACTGTGCCGTGAAGAAAATGTTAGATTGTAGAGTTCAAGAATTTCTTGCAAAAAAGGTAATGGAATATTAAATATCATTTTATAATAATCCATGAATAGAAAATAATAAAAAGAACAATCTTGAATAATTACATACTACCAAAAATAATGTGAAAAAAAAGATAAAAATCAAACTAGAAAGATAGGCAGAAAATCAAGTACACTTCAAGTGACACTGAAACTGCGTGATGCGTTTTCTTACAATAAATAAGTAAAGGCATAGTTTTGGTGTCACTTGAAATGAACACTTCACTCAATTTTCTTTCTTTGTCGGTTTAAATTTAAAAAACAAACATGAGTGCAGTTCACACGCGGGTAGAAGTGAAACCTTCAGAAAAGGAGACCAAGATAATAGGAAACAAACATATTAGAGCTATGCTACAGCTATAATATAGTTGTAGCATAAATGGGTCAGCTTGACCAGAGAAGGACCATGCTCTCGCAGAATTCGTTCGTTTCGTGCGGTGAGTGTAGAGAACCGGAGAACCTTTTCATTTCATGGATTTCCATCTCAGTCCTCAGGGGTGACAAGGCTTCTGCATAATTCTTAATCAAGGATAGATATAGATGTCTATGGGCCACAGCATCTGTTTATCATTAGGTGGGCTATGTACTCACTTGTCACCCTTATTCTAAAAAAACAAACATGTACATCTATAGATGTAATATTTAGCCAGCGAAAGATTGCAATAGAATACACAGTATAAAGTGTCTCTTTTATTTCTTCAAAAATTAAAATTACCTTTTGATCAGTAGGCAATATTAGCACGTTGCCCCAGTGCAAGTCGCGATGTTCGAACTGGAACGCTTCTTCAGCCACGGCTAAACCAAAAGCTATCTGAAAACAGGAATAAATAGGTCAAAAGAGAAATTTAAAGTACTAGAAGGTAGAGGTTCATTGTATGGCTGCAGAACCCTCACAAGGAATTGCAGAAAAAGTTTGATAACATAAGTTTTTTAAATACGAACTTGAAACAAGGCAAAAAAACAGTGAAATTTACACTAAGTTAATATAACAAACAAAAAAATCATGCGCCAAAAAATCACACGTTTAACAATGAAAGCGATGCACAGCCACCGCAGAGGATAAGTGAAAATCTAGTCAAGATGGTCTCTACTTGAACTAGAGATTCACTCATCTTCCGCAATAGCAGTAGCCTCATGCACTAAGACTGGAGCGCTGAAAAAAACACAATAAACAAAAATAAAAGAGGCTATTTAATTTTATTAATACTTGTATTTCTCATAACAAAAATTAAAAAACAGACAATATAAGAACCTAAGCATTAAATTAAATTAAAGGTTTAATTTAGCATTAAACTTAATAGAGCCTCTAGAGTAAACAGAAAACAAATGGTATTTCACCTTCAGAGAAGACTGTGTCTTTTCTACATTTGCTTAAAGTTCTTTGCAGGTTCCATGGGATTCAGAAGCCACTTGACATTAAATAAAAAATGATCTCATGTGTAGTCATGTCGTATTAGCCCTTATTTTATATAATTAGAAGCTTAATTTTTAATTATCTTCCTGTTCTAATTCAGCATGTATTGTTATTTACTATCAAATGACACAACACATTGAGACACAACCAATCAAAAAAAAATAATGTAACACAATATGTTGCATTCATACAGTTATGCACATACAGACACATTTTGGATACACACCTGCAGAAAGAGCGCATGCGCCTGCTCGGCGCTATTGAACTGGTAACTCTCGAGATCCTGACCCGCGTTGGCCAACTCCAGCACAATATAATGTTGATCAACTGGCAATATTGCTGGATTGTCGTTCTCCGAGCCTTTGCACTCGTCATACAGATCCCACAAGTCCAGGAGACGAGATGGGTAGCCCCCATAGACACACTGCACTGCTAGAACCTGGAACAAAATGGGGATTTTATTTATAAATATTTTTTTATCATTTTCATCCTTCCTTATTATAAGAGGCCCGGCCATGGCCAGTAGAGGGAGGTAAGTCTATTAAAGCAGGCCCATTCGCTGACATAGTTGACATCAAAATGGTAAGTCACTTGGTCGTATAGTATATTCACTTAGATACGGTCGCCTTTGTGTCGCGCCACCTTGGCAAGGACCGCATCTTGTCAGAGGCGTCGCCGCTACATCAAAGATCGCCGTGTGCGACGTACACTCGCATGAGAATTTGGCATTTTAAAACGAAGCATTGTAGTGAAAGGCTATTTTTGTTGACTCTGCTTCTGCGGCCTTGGGAGGACAGTGAAGTGCCTCAAGATAAAATTTTGAGAGAACCAAAAACAAAAGGACGGGCCTTCTGTAAAACATGTAAACAAATCATAGTCAATGTCTATCGGTATTGTGTTCAAATGAATGTGTCTGCAACTAACATAGACACTTCATAAAAAGTGGGGATACCAAGAATTAGCATTGGATCAGTATTAAAAGAGGATTCATCAACACCTAAAAAACGTAATAACAGAAGAATCCCACTATTGAAAATACACAAACTACTAATACATATAGAACGAATGTTCTATGTACGACACCTACATGCTCTTTACTCTAAAGGAAAGCTATATAGAATATGATGTAATATACTGCAAAGTAACTATCATTTTCTTGTCAATGAAGTTAGCGAGTAGGTCTGCCTTTTGATTCTGAAAAAAAGCAATCCTCAACCTTTTAAGTGCTGAAGAAGGGATAATAAGGTATACCCAAACAAATTGTCAGGGAACCTCTTATAAGTAACATGTGTGTCGGTACATAAGTGCATAAAAAGATAACTCTTTATTTGCTAAGAAGCACTTAAAAAATATGACAATATGAAAGAAAATAATATTAAATTTAAGTAATCCCCTAAATAATAATTTAAGCTGAATAAATATGTATTCATGCATAAGTTGGATACTATCATCTGTGAGGCATTCCATCTTAGTCTTGACAACACATCTGTTGTCTTCCTTTTTTAGCACAGTAACCACTTACACATCACATCAGGTAGACTGCTTTTCTATTTGTCATTTTAGTTTAGTTCGGTAAAATATTATTACCGAATATTGAGTGGTATTACTAGATAATAGCATTGCCGTAGTCCTCACATTACGAAGCTAGTAATTATGTAAACATACAATCAGTAACTATGCAATGCAATGACAGACGATTGTTAAAATAAAATGGGCATTAAATACAGATACAGCCTCAAAATGCAGTTTGCGCAATTCATCAATAGACTATTTTCTTTTCCAAGTACATAACCAGATAAAATAAAGAGAAATCAACTCAATATACCTACTTATATAAACTAGTGAATGGTTAGTGGTCGAAAAACGACTTTGATTCATAAAATTTTTAGGTTTGTATATTAAACAAGTTTCATTTTACTTTCATCTGTACATTAATATACAAAATACCCAAAATGTAGTAATTGTATACTCTTTGGTACTTACTCTGAGAGATTGGCAGTATGATTGTCAATAAACATCAATGTCATCTGGACAAATTATGTTGTTTGAGATTGATATTGTTTTTTATTTTATTAATGTATTTCAAGTCAGTTTACACGTGTGTGCGTGCCCGCGCGCGCCTGTGTGTGTGTGTGTGTGTGTGTGTGTGTGTGTGTAAGCGAAATAAAACTGCCCGCTAAGAACGAATTTTATGAGTCCCAAGAAAAAAAAAATTTTTCTTGATATTTTACATCTAGGTTCCGCAATAAAATATTATCTTGCGTCCGGCGAAGCGAGCGGGTATCAGCTAGTTTTAAACAAATTTTAGCTTTCTGCACTTCTCCATATAAACCAAATCTCAAACTTCAGTAAGCTCAATATACTCAAAAACGAGTACAAAGTTTTATATGTAATTAAGTTTTATATATATGTAATCATGATTTTTTATTCAAATAACCAGTTCAGTTTTTTCTATTATGTCGCTAAGATCAAAAAATATTATTCGTATTTCATCAGTATGTAATTTGTATCTAAATATAATTTCCAAAACACACGAATTAAAAAAAACCGAGCGAAAAATACCGAGCCAAGCTCGATCAACCGGGTACTGTATATTAAAAATGTAATTTATGTAATTCATGCGCAGTTTAATAGGTTCTACCAGTGTTGTCATAGAAAGTAATGCCACAGTTATCTTGGTTGCGTAAACTACCGAAACGGAATCTCCATCCAATCCAACAACATTTAGTACACTGTTATATGACTTTAAATATTAGAAAAACACAACAGCAACATCATAGCAAAGCTTCTCTTTACATTACGACCATTTCATTATTGATGTAGCTGTATATGAAGAGTTCTCTGTTATTTTGAATATTGTAGCATTGATTAAAAATACGAACGTCAGTAAATTGCCGTCTTAATTATTGTTTAAAGCCTATATACGTCCCCCAGTTGTGCAGAATTGCCTTGTCCTATTGTGAGATACCCTCAGAAATATCACAAGTTCAAGGTAACAACTGGAAGCTACCCCTTGGGGTAATTCCAATTTTTTATTTAATTAAAAATCATTAAAATCGGTTCATAAGAATATCTCGCGTATATTATATTACAATCAATAGTACGATATCACGCAAAATACATACAAAAAATAACCGGACAAATTTAGAACCTTTTTAGTCTGTTAAAATATGATGAAAAATCAAATATATCACGCACTATTACATTAAGAAGAAAATAGTAAACAATGTCTATAAACACAATGCTTCGGAAATTATATTTCATAATTATGTAATATATAACTAGTAAATATACCCACATTTATTATTAATAAATAATTACACGTATAATTACAATAATTAAAAGGAAAATAAAAATTGAAACAACGAGCGCATAATTGTCCAAATTCGACTTCGAGGAATCCCATCAAATTGTAAGTGGCGCGTTTCTCTCGAAACTTTCGCTCCATTTGCGTAATCTAAATTGACTTACATAAGTGCATAAGCAAAATGCTCTTTGTCTTATGTAACAAGAAATACTGTACCGACGTTTCGCGAGTTGTTTATGAACACAGAAGATCTATTAAGAGATTGCTATTGTTCATGCAACGTTATATCGATACCATGCGAGGAACAGATGTTTCACTAGCCATAATATAACTTCTGTTTATTTATTTTTTTCGATTTTAAATAAACTTCCAAGTAAATATATATCATGAAAATGTATAAAGGTTTCAGCAATACACAGGATATTGGATCAGACAACACTTCATGCCGAATCTACTCGTCACATTGATTGTTTATGAAATTAAAATTCATTAGAAAATCCAAAAGAACTGATAAGCACAGTATGACTACAATGACTCAATATTAAGGACTTAACAGTAAGCGGAATATAATCATGAGTCATTGAAAAGCAAGTTTTATGGACAAAATATTGATTCGGAAACGCAACCTACTTATTCATCAATTGTGACGTTTTTCTCAACCAGAGTGTGAATACTACGAACACGCACAATTATAATACAGATTATCTGTATGTGATTATTATCTAAATTTAAATATGTATGTACTAGTTAGATTTTAATATGTATGTAGTAAGATTTAAATATATATGTATGTAGTTACATTTAAATATACTTATTTAAATGTAACTAATAATCCTGATAGCTGACCTCAATCATAATAATCAATGCAGGACATAAATGTTAGTTATACTGACCACACAACGCTGTTAGTATGTTTACCCCATTTTGCATTACTATAGAGGTTGAAAGAACATTGGCATTTTATATGTACTTGGCCAGTTTTCAATGTGAATTTTTATTCAAAGATTCTAATACATTTCACAAATATACTGAAAAAAATAGAGTGTAACAGGTGAACGAAATAAAAGCCTATGGGCACTGACATTTAACTTTTTTTACCTTATATATTATGAAATTTATCTATAAATAAATACTACTAGTTTAAAATGAAGTTTCGGTACTAAAAAAATAACATCAAAAATTTTGAACTAAATAAATGAATTAAAAACTATCGAAATTAAAATAATACGTAACTAAAGTATTATTTATTGATAGATCAATGTCATAATAAATAAAAAAATTGTAAAATATCAGTGCCATAGGCGTCTATTCGGTACACCTGTTACACCCCATTTTTTCCAGACGGTAAAAAAATTATCCAGTATTTTTTTTCCTAATCACAGTTAAATATTTTTGAATGCAGCCAAGTAATTTCTAGGTATCTAGAATTTATTAAAAATAAATTCTTTTGTTGTCCAGATTTTAACCATAATGATTCCTTATATTTAGACGAACAGTACACATGAAATGAAACTAATTTTACGGATTTTTTCGCGTTTAATTTCAACTCTTTTTCGAATTGCCCGATGTCCCCCGCCCCCGTGACCATGCGAGATGTCGGGAATCAAAAAGTTAGAATTAAACGCGATGACATCTGTAAAATCAGTTAAATTTAACAGTTAGTGCATATAATACTTAGAACGGCGACGGGCCGCACCGCCAAACGTGCTCACGTTTAGAAGTGCGATATGACGATCAGACCGCTTGCCAAAATCTTATCTACAACACAAGAGATCAATGACCAAGAAGAAGATTGTTCGTATTGTACAGTTGTGCGCTAATTTCTCAAGAATAGATAAAGAAACAATAAAACGATAAGACGCAGACAAAAACAAATATAAAACAGTTCAATAAACTGTTTATGTATGACTTTAATATTATGGTTTCTAATAAAATGCTGAACAGAAAAAAAAAACTGCTAGACAGAATTAAATATTTTACATATAAGACAATTGCGATCAACAATCTTCACAATGCCAAAATGTGACCAAAAGTACAAAACAATCCTTTTATTCTAAACCTCAGTTTTACACTAGAATTTTCTCTTGTACATACATAAATTGCATAAGGGCCACACATCCGGATCCTGCACAATCGGACCATACAAATACTTGTTTGCGGGATTTGAATCCAAGATCGTCTCTGATTACCGCCCAAGTCTTATAGCATTAACAGATGTTTGAATTTAGTGTGGGCCAGACCAACATATTTAAAATATTTTTGAAAATTCACCTCAATATAATGAATACATATAAATAAAAAACACTATTTTAAAACTATTTTTATAGATAAAATAAGCGTTAACATAATATGTAAGAGCAAATGGCTTACTTCATTCTGGATTACTTTTCAACATGGCCGGTTAATATGTGTAAACATACTAAAGCCTATTTTTACTCTTACCAAGATGATACAACAAATATAAAATAATTGGAAAATCCAAAAGTGCACACGCCTCATGAGCATTTAATTTAATTTTGATGAAAAAAATAAATAAATTGTATTCCTGACAAGTACAGCAAGCCCAAAAATTGTAGAATACATGATTATTTGAAGTTTTGTTAGTAAATACAGAAAATAAAAAGTTTCAGTAAAGAATTACAACCTCATCAAAATAATTAAACGAAATCCAAACTCTTCAAAGTTTTGTATGATCCAGATGTGTAAATGTGGCTTATATGTAAATGATATATCAAATCTGAATTCACAACGGTCTTATTTTTTTAGCAATTATGTGACAGTAAATGGTAGTAATAGTAATTGTGTTTTTATTAATTTTGCTTTAAAAAATACAGTTTAAGCTAAAAATGTACAAAAAATTTAAATGATTTTTACGTCAAGTATTTTTTTATCTTCATCAAATGATTTAAAGTTTTGTTTGTAATTTAATTTATTTTTCTATTCTAATAGATGTTACTAATTAAAGTTCTATTGTTCTGCATTTATTATTATTTCAATAAATGTTTAATTTATTTTTAATTATAAAATATTACAAATTTTGTGCGTGACTTAAGTAAAACATATCGTACAATAATCGACTAGTTAGGTCCCGCATGAGCATGACTGAAACGTGGTGTTAAGGGCCTATACTACCTCAGCTAAACCCCCACTTTCCCGCGCGTCGTATTCTACCTACCGACATGTTTGTAATCACTAATACTGTAAGTAGATAGGTCGTTAGATACTTATTTCATTAGGTTTATCATATTTTATGCCTGTTTTTTACGCCCACCCAGTCGCTTCTTATTTTCACGATTATTTCCCATTTTAATTTTACGTCGTCCTGTTGAGTAATGTGTATTCTGATCGTAAGCGACACAGCTTTCCGGTTCGAAAGCCGAAGCGAGATTGATCGAAGGGCAGAAAGGCAAGGAAGCTTCAGGACGCCGACAGTTTAGGTAATTTTTTTGCAGTGAAAATAATGATAATTTAAAAAAATCATAAGCCATGTTTTATAGTTAGTTCAGTTAGTATGCAAAGTTAAATGATCTAATTTTAAGTATTTTATGAATGAATACCAGCGGTTCATTTTGGAGGTAACTTTGGATTTTTTTAACGAGATAATTTATGTAATGTGTTTTCGTCTAACATAGTACTTAACATTAATCCTCAACTTTATCATATATTTATTTCAAAATTAACCTCATTTCGGAACACGATCATATGAGTCGCATTTATGCGACTCATATTTCCGTGTCCCTACCGCTCGTGTCGTATTTCTGCGACAGAGAACGAGCATGATTTTTTCGTTCTATTTTTGTCCTATTATATATATATATATATATATATATATATATATATATATATATACTGCGTGGTACAACTAAAACCATTTTTAAATAGAGATAATATTCACAACAATTACTTAAAATTATGTCTCGTAGCTCAATACTTATTGAAGAAGCAACAAATATAAGTAATTGACAGCTTGGACGTTTCTTCGGTGTCTATCGCGCGCGTCGCATAAATATGACCATAGGGATGGGATACAATGCAATGCGCATTTTAAAAACGAAATAACAAACAGCTAAATAATCAGGTATAATGCAACATTAAGCATAAAATAAACAATGTCATACGAAATAAAGTTTATATAACATATTAGGTACCTAGTGTCATTAATTATTTTCCTTATTATTTATAAGAAAAATATCCCACGGGCTCTTTGTATAATGAAAACATTTGACGTTAATTCCCATCCCTAGACGCCTATGTTTGCAACACCATTTCTCTATTAGTCTAGCGCGGCTGTCGCATTAATACGACCACTGCCTACGTCACAAGCGGATCAAACGAATGGAAATTTCCATTAATGTTGTTAGTGGGTATTGTCGATAAAATAGTCACATTTCAATAATGACGACTACTGAGGAATTAATAAGAATATTAGAAGGAAAAGTGTAAATTACAGTAGAACGCCGATTATCCGAACGCCGATTAACCGAATCGCCAATTATCCGAATCGGTCTTAAGCGTAATATAAAAAATTAAAACCAAGTACTGTAAGTAAGTAATGTAATTTTTGTTTTGTTTTCTTGTAACAAGTTGGAACTCGCTGGAGTCCAGATATATTTCAACTGTTATGGTTGAGAGCTAGAGGCAAGACACTAAATGTTTTGTGTGTGACAGTTCGTTTTTTTATTACCAGTATGTCCGATTATCAGAATTTTCGATTAACCGAATCGATCCCGGTCCTAATTAATTCAGATAATCGGCGTTCTACTCTAATGTGATTTAAGAATTAGTAACTGATTAGCAAAAAAAAAACAAATAAAACAATTGTGATTCAAAAATTTATTCTAGGTAAAAAAAAAATAAGTTTAAGAGATTATTGATAAAAAGGCTGATTTAAAATAAAAAAAATAAAATAAAAAACTTTGGCTATTTTTAATCGATACAACGATTGCTCCTCCTTATTTATTGTAGGTATTATTTTATCGATTTGTAGCCACGTGCTAAGGGCATGTAGCCAAGCCCAAGCCACGCGCTTAAAGGGTTAATGCTGCAATATTTTCGACATAGCAGAGGATCTTGCTAAGCCATTTGAGGTAGTACAAGCCCTTAATTTTTCACTATTGACCCTTAAGTTACTGTATACTATAAAATATAGTATTTACGGGTTTTAAATTTAGCGCTCTATTATTTTAACAGGTAGTGTCACATACAGGAAAAAAATTAATAATGTTTACCAAAATCAATAGATTACACAAAATATACAATTGATTATAGGTTGTATGGTAGATTTTTCCTTTGAATTTTTAATAGCAATAGAACTTATAAAAGTTTAAAATATTTTTATTAACAAACTACGCGTACTAGGCTATTGATATGAAATAGGGAACTACTTGATGTAATTTTGAAGCAAATAAAAAAACCCGTCCTCGATACGTCAATTTTTTCGGGAATTATCGTGACCACGTAAATTTTTTTCAGTTTTTTTTAAAAGTAGCGATATTAAATTATTTTTTTTAGAAAATATGAGATGGATTAATTAGTGTTTTCTTGATATACGGCTACTCATATTACCGAATAAGTACAATATGGTTATGATAGAGGCATTTTAAGCACACTAAATGGCTTGACCTTGACGTGTCGAGAGTAAAGCACTACCTATAAGTAATATTCTAGTATTACTAGACTACTATTATAGTAACTATTCGCCTTATGAGCCGAGCAATATTATAAAAACAATCACAAAGCATTTTTAAATTAAATGTAATAAAAAAGCGAATTAATATCTTTCATATTTGGGTTATAACAGACAGCCATAAATGGCAGACAAGAAGACTGAAGATAAGAAGCTCCGCAAACGCGACACATTTTCCGTTATCAAATAACAATAATTAGCACAGTAAAGCGGTTTGCAGGCTATGAATGAAGTGATTCATGCTCACTGCTCACAAGGAATATTCAAAGAGCTCCCTGATAATTGCTTTATCTTTACGGTTGCTCAGTGTGACCTACCACAGAAAATACATAACAAAGATGTTCTTATGTCTGTTTTATTTCCTTTTTTTATTATAGTTCTAAGCCAGTGCTTAGCTACAATCCCACCTGGTGGTAAGTGGTGATGTAGCCTAAGATGGTGAATCGCACTGACAATCAAAACCTATTCACTCTTGCCTTGAAGACATCCACACTGTAATCAGAATCCTTTCTCTATAATTGTAGGAAATAGGCTCAAGCATCAATGGATAAAGCAATACTAATTACTTCGCAACCTTCCGCTAACTAAATACAATGATGAATACATCATTGTATTTAGATGCTTAAGCTAAGCTACACTCTTTAATAAGCAGTGCATTGTTTTTTTTTTTTTACTAGTCGAGTGTTATATACACATACTTATAAATTTTCAGATTATACATTATACTGAAATTTATATCTATTGTATTTTCATATTGCGGCGTACGACATAATATATAGCGTTAATATATCACGTCTTGTCTTGTCTATATAAATGATAGTAATCTGTAATTATCAATTCAGGAGAGAAAGTCATGTTAGTACAAACAATACTCAATATATTAAAGTGGTGGTAGTTCTCTAATGGTAGTAACTCAGGTTCACACAATTGGTTCAAACAATTGGTATCTACAATTACAAATACTGGTTTACCGATATTTAAAATCATCGTGAGTAAACTGGCATGTGTAAGTAATTTTAAATTTCAAGGACATGTTAAGTCTGAAAACAACCACTGGAGCATAAGTTGTGAAAAATGATTGAAGTTGTTTAAAAAAATGTAAGAAATTTTTTCTAATCCTACCAATCTAGAAAGTTCAATTATACCTCAAAGTCAAGTCAAAAGGTTATAGCATACAATAATTATTAAATGAAAACCTTTACTCACCTCATTAAAGATATCAGTGGCGTTCTCTACAGAATGTAAATCCAATGCATCAATTTCCTTTCCCTCATCGAAGCGTTTTTCTATTTCAGCTATAGGAGCGCGCAAAGCGCTCAATTCCCTGCAATAGATAAGCTTGTAAAATGTTAAGCCATTTATAATAAAATATTTTTGTAAATTTTTTGATTGCCTTGTCAACCCTAGCCATTCTTTTCCTCATCCTTTTACAACATTATATATATATATATATATATATATATATATATATATATATATATAAAAAAAATATATATATATATATATATATATATATATATATATATATATATAAAATGATTTACCATAATTGCCACACATGCCAGATAGAATGGCACACAAGTACTTGTACAAGTACAAGTAAATGTCTTTCACCTTCGACACAGTTCTTTATCACATCATCGATTAGAGGTCACTCACTTCCTTTTCCACAGTCACCTCTCACAACACCCATGCAATGGAATATGGTGGTGGATTTTGTTATAGTCATCAGGCATTACTATGGTTATTTAAGGAAATAATATTAAATATATTATTTCCTTAAAATATTGTTCATAAAGTAAGAACTTTAATATTATTTAAATTAATGATAAAGAAGTCTGCATATTATAGCATTAAATTCAAATAAAAACGAAATGGGCTTACATAGCAATCACAATCTCAGAAATAATTTCGTGGTATCCCTTTTGCGGCTCCCCATTGACCTTTATATCCCCAGCTATAGGGATGATTTTTAGAACACGTGCACGGCCATCGCGAGCTCGCCACAGGAATACTTCTCCATAAACACCCTCGCCAATCTTGTGGCAGTTCTTCAGTTCCCTGGTGTTTAAAATTCAAATGTAAATACAATTGTAATAAAAATTAAACAAATTGATAATGTTTTTTTACATATACCATGACAACTTAAGAAAAGTAATGAAAGTTATTTTTATTCAGTACTCATAACTTATATAACACTTATGGAATTGTATTAGTGGTAGCTTTGGATGCAATATTTAAACCATTATAAACTTGAAAAGTAATAATTAAAGATTTCACCCAAAAAAATTATAAACCTTGCATAAAATTTAAAGACAATAACCTATAATATTTATAATATTATCAAGAAGTTTGAATTAATATTATTTAAATTATCATTAGGCATTTTTGGACTAATGACTCTTGTTTCCTAATTGGAGATAATAACAGTTCTCTATTGGGCATTCATTTTAAGACAATTCTCATGGTTTTTTTTAACCTTAATTTAACTTTGTCACACCAGACATAAATATTGTAATTCAAATTTACTAACACCCAAGTAGTTTATAAGCTTTTATGTAATTTGTTGGAAGAATGTAATAAGGATGTCATGAGTCATGACTTACATGTCTACACTTAAAAGTATTTATAAATAATTTAACTGTATTTTATCTCACTGTTATGTACTTATATGTAAGCTAGGAAAAACTTTAACGTAACACATTATCATCGCCATTAGAACTTATTAATTCCCTACTGAACATAGGCCTCCCCATAGATTGCCTTTTGAAAGTGATACTTGCCATAGACACTACACTTAGTTTGGCAACTGTAATTTTTAATTCTAATTGTTATTAGGAAAATACTGCTGCCCATATTTCGGTTTGATTATTGTCTCCAGGGACAATATGGGGTACTGGATATCCTTTCACCGCAAAACCCAATCAATGCAATACACTAATTATTTAAAAATGTGACATGAAGGAATTATGAATCGATATTCTTATTAGCTTTATATTACTTATGTAGCTCCTGAGAATACAAAATTACAAGGTAAAGTAAAAAACTATTAAGTAAAGATTACTTCATTAATTTAATATAACTTTAAAAAATATACTACAGTGGATTTCGGGTATAACGATGAAGGACCACTCAATTTTCGTCATTATATCCGTAAGTCGTTACAGGCAAAGGTAAAGAGATACAGTCACGTACACATGTATAGTTTATATTCATTTATTATTGAAAATATTTGCACACATAACACCACTTATACCGAACCATAATCACACGCTCTCCTACCTACTTAGCTGATATCTATAAACAAAAGTTAAAGGTATTAATTATTATTAATTGGTGTTTAATGATTTTATTACTTAAGTATAATTACTGTGTACCTATGTCTGATAAGTAAATTCTGTGCGAAGGAAGCTATTTGCACATTTGAGGGAGAAGGATGTAATGATAATTGTAAAATTAAAATAAAGTCAGTGCTGGCCAGAACACCTTGTTTGATTGAGCATGTCACACATGACACCACACTTGCTGACCATCTGTGTAGATGTAAACAAAAGATAAGAAATGTTAATATAAATAAGATAATAAATGTTAAAAATTATAAAAATAAATCTTTGTGTCTTTGGCGGCTGACTCTGGTCGCAATATCTGAATGGGATTTCTATGAATTTGTTACAAATTATTCATCGAAAACAGTTGCTATACCCGAACTCTGCATTACATCCAAAGTCGCTATAGCCTCATGAATTTTGTACTAAAGTATGCTTTAAATTCAAGGAACTAGATTAGATTTAACGTTGCTATAGGTTGCTACAACCAAGGTCGTAATAAATGAAATCCACTGTATATATTTTTCAATAGAAAGAATATAATATAGCTTTACCATATATCTTCATAAAACTGAAGTACAAGAACATTAAAAGCACTAATAACACTTTACATGGTAGAGCCATACTGCAGCTATATTAGTAGTATAGTTGTAGCATGAATGGGTCGACTCGATCAGGGAAGGACCACACTCTCACAGAATACCAGCATAAAATGGCAGCTCAATGCTGCTGTTTCATATGGTGAGTGTAGAGAACCGGAGACCCTTTTTACTGGAAACGAGGCATTCCATCTTAGTCCTCAAGAGCGACAAGGCATCTGCATTTTGATTTATAATCAAAGATATATTATGTAGATGTCTATGGGCAGCCACTTACCATCAGGTGGACTGTTTACCGATTTGTCACCCATCTCCTATAAAAAACCTAATTTAAACAAAATAAAAAAAAATATTTTATATGAAGGAGTGCAGCTATACAATATATGTACATGTGTAAATAAATTGCCAAATGATGTTAAAGAATGTAACAATCTTAATATATTTAGAAGTAAGCTAAAAAGACATGTTTGTTCTTTACTATCTTCTACTATTTTGTCAAATTTTATATCTATTAGTGTATGACTAATTATTAAGCACAAGAGGCAATGTCTGAATTTTTTACATGTAATTTACTATATAACTTCATTATAAGTGAAACTCTGTTTATTATGAGAAATAAATTCTTTAAAACTAATTTACCCTCTTGTTTTATTGAATGTATGGCATTATTTATTACAATAACAATGCAATCTCAATATAAGCAAAAAAAAGTTAATGAATCTTTTGATTGAATTGAACTTAACGTGATTACATTTTGGAAAGTTATTACTAAGAATTACTGACCTACATACATCTAAGTGACTGAATATTTTTTTTAAATTAATAATCTATTTTGAAGTGATTATGACAAAAATTAGTTAGTAAACACAAAGGAGATGGTCCATTTCAGGCCCAGTTTATGTACACTATACCATAAAAAAGCGAAAAAGTTATGGATTTTAGTAAAAATAAAATCAGAGAATAAACCAAACTAAATGACTTGCTAAAAATAAAAATACAATCCCAATATTTGATGATTTTACAAGATGGGGTGCGTCGAGTCATAAAATTATATGTCATATATCATGTGTGAAAAGCGACTTGAGTCATGACATAATGTAGGTAGTGTGAAATTTCTTTTATTCCGAGCTTGTTTGTGCGGTTGTGAACTCGTGAATATGTTTATTGTGTTTCTTTTGGATTTCTTCGGCAATTAGTTTATTTTTTATTTGGATTTTGGATCTGCTTTTGTTTTGATGGATTTCATGATTTACGTAAGATTTTGATTTCATTGATATGGGATATCTGTAGAATCACATTTTGAATCATCAATAACCTCATGACAGTTGACAGCTAACGGCAAAACAACATCAATTTGCCATTAGTGTTGCAGTTTTTGATAAGAATTAATTATTAATACCACTGAAATAAAGGCAAATTCGTGGATTTGAATGACCAAAAGTGGTGTAATATATCATTTTAATTTATTTCCCTACTTGTACAAATCCAGGCCTACGCTTCATACAAATTTGGAACGTCTCCTTTACAATTAATGCCTTCAAGAAAACATTGGATAAAATCTCCAAACATCAAGATGCAAAAATATCAGCTTTTAATTGCTAGTGTGTTAATATAATAATGGCCATAATTTAAATTTTTCAAAATACTGATTATTTGTTATATCTCAATGAATAATTTGATAGACAATATCAGTCAAGAGAACCTACATAGTTACAATTATGACAAGTAAAAGTGAAAATATCTTGATGATATGTAACAATACAGAATAACAAAAAATATTTTCTTATAAATTACATCATTCTAAACACATTTTGCAGCTACCATTTTGTTATTTGTTTGACCCACATAATCGGCAAACATTTCTTTAAAAACACGTACAAAGCTATGTACCTTATGTTGACAGAGCTGTGACAGTAATTTACATTTACATGGAGAAATAAATAAATAAAATCATTACATACGTATCTGGATAGCATTCATCAAACAGTATAGCCTCGGTTTGATTGCAGCGCCGTAGTACGTAATCGCGTGCAGTAGCTATTCGACTCGTGTCATGAAACTTTTCTAATACAGTAACTTCGTGTTCAGAATCACCAATCGACAATTTTGATAATTCGACGATCGTATCATCACAGTCGTCGGACAGAAATCCTGAAATAACGTAAGCGTTAAATAAACGCTGCATGACACACAATAGGAAGTGAATGACGGACTTTCCCCACGCGTAACACGTAATTTCTCAGAATCATTAAGCCACACAAAGGGTCGAAATGTCCAAGAAAACTATATTTTATAATAAAACTAACCTGTGTATTGCAGGGAAAGATACATGCACTTGGCTTTAAACACTTTTTGTTGAACAAAGGCGTAGAAAGAGGCTATTATCCCGTTAGGGATAATGGCAGTCAATAAAGTCCAAGATAATCACTGATTCGCACAAAAATTGATTATGTTCTACTATTGTACGTCAATAGTAGCCGTTAAATTCACTAACGTGCGTAAATTAGTTGAAATTACTTATATATTAACAAAAAATAAAAATTGGGGAAGATGGCCAACGACACTCAACAGCGTCTTCTTTCTTCCGCGAACGAATGTCACAGATTAAGAATTCAATTTACTCAAAATGTGCTTAGAAACAGTGTTACCAGCCTTTTGTTTTTAATTTCTACAACAATCAAAGATTATAATCATTATATTATACGAAAGGTTTGGAGCCATAAGAATAATCACATACTGTATTATTGATGTTCTATCTATAAACATTTAAATATAGATAATAACCAATAACTTAGATAAAATTACCTACCTTTTAAATCGTCATATATGGTAGTAGAACATAAACTCGCTCGTGAATACCTGTTTTCCTGAAATAATAAAATTTTAAGCAATAATATATAATATGTTAAAATTATATAAAGTAACGAAACAGCTTACTTTTACAATTTTAATTGTTGTTCTGCTTGGTTTACAAACAAATGTACTTCTTCTGCTATTAACTGATTCATTGTGGAGGGAACCTGTTAAAAGTATTTTTAACACATTATCCAAATAAACTTGGTTTAAATTTAAATTACACCTATTTTTTAATTAATAAATACAAATTCAAACCTGACATTACACTGCTACTTTGATGTAATGTGACAAATGTTACGGTTTATGGTATATTTAAAAAAAATGCATTGGCATAGAAATTTATTTTTCAAGAAGTTCATATAAGGCGACGTGCATGCCTTGAAACTTTTTGTTGAAGTACAAAATCGAAATCATTCCATACAATTTTTATTTCGTAATAAAATATTTGGTATTTACACCATGGTAACAACACTGCCATCATAAATTGAAGGTCGCATGTACATTTTTTTGAATTTGAGTTGTGTAAAGTTGGAACTATTAAAGTAAAGTTTTGGAACTACTAAAGTACTTAACATTAAAACCCATGGATGCAACCTTTTATCTATGACAGCAGAATAAACCTTTTAGAAAATTTTGGCAGAGATTTGAATAAAATGATTCAGGTCTTTACAGCTATATGATATTTTTCTTACTTCCTCCTTCCCTCCAGACCACTGTACAGTACATGCGTATTTATAGTGAACCGTGTTGCTTAAAATATTATAACATAACATAACATAAACACTCACGCCTGTCACCCAGAGGGGTAGGCAGAGACTACAGACTTCCATTTGGCACGATCCTGACACACCTCTCTCGCCTCCTTCACATCCATACACCTACGCATACATGCTCGTCGGTTATGGGTACTCCTAATTTGGCCCGTTTTCAATAAATCGCCAATTTGGTCGATAAATTTTCGCCTAGGGCGTCCCTTTCCGACTCTGCCATTCACTTCTGCAACATAAATTTTCTTTGTCACTCTTTCCTCATTCATTCTTTCCACATGACCAAACCACCGAAGCATTCCTTTCTTAATCCTGGTCACAACATCATCTTGCAAACCACACTCTTCTCTTATTACACAATCTGTCATTCAGATTCAGCCCTAACATACTCCTTAACGACCGCATTTCTACTGCGTTGATTCTACTCTCGTGCTTCTTCTGCCACACCCAACTTTCACTACCATACTTTAAAGTAGGGACCAACACAGCATTGTGAATTGCCTGCCTTTATTACTATACACTATATATATATACTACTCTATACATGCCTTTTTGACACATTTTGACTCTTCACAATAGAGTGCAGGGCCCCATTTACTCTATTTCCCGCATTCACTCGTCGTTCTATATCCTTATCATATCTCCCATCCCTGCTAAATACGCAGCCCAAATATACAAACTCATCTACTTGCTCGATCAACTCCCATTCTATTCTTATTTCACAAATCGTTTTACTTTCTTCTCTTTCAAAACCATAACTTTCGTCTTACTTGCGTTCACTTTCATACCTCTTTCTTTTAATGATCTGTTCATTAATGTAACCATCATTTGCAACTCGGCCACCGACGACGCAAGGATAACTTGATCATCGGCGTACAAAAGGCATTTGACGGTTAACTCACCCACTCTTAATCCGCATTCTTCAACTTTCAAATTTTGCAAACAACTGTCCATAAATAGGTTGAACAGCCACGGGGAAGCCACACAGCCCTGTCTGACACCTTTATGGATGTCAAACCAGTCCGAGTAGACCCCGTTGATCCTAACACAAGCATTAGAGTCCCTATAAAGAGACTCCAATGCCTGTATCAAGCCAGCGCTCAACCCAAATGAGTTCAGTGTTTGCCATAGCACATCCCTATCCACTCTGTCATAGGCCTTTTACAAGTCCATGAACGTACAAAAAACCTTTTGGTTTTTGGCCAAAAACTTCTCCGCGATCATGCACATGGAAAAGACTTGATCTGTACATCCCATTCCCTTTCTAAATCCCGCTTGCACATCCCAAATTTTTCCATCAGTTTCTTTCATGACCCTTTCAATCAGTACCTTAGCATACAGTTTTCCCACAATGCTAAGAAGGCTGATGCCACGGTAGTTTTTACAGTCCTGCTGCGACCCTTTTCCTTTATATACTGGGACTACCATGGCTTTGCACCAGTCTACCGGTACCCTCTTCAGTTACCAGCATAAAATAAACAAGGTTTGCTGCAGGCCTGCCACGACTTCCTCTCCAGCCCTTAGCATTTCGAGTGAAACTCTATCATATCCGGCAGCCTTACCTGCTTTCATGCTCTTCATTACTTTCATTATTTCATCTATACTTATCTCGCTACCTCTTTCCTCTTCTTTCGGAGTTTCTACTTCACTTCGTACACACGTTGTCTCCTCACTCATAAACACGCTTTCAAAATATTCCTTCCATCTTTTTAAACTCAAAAATTCATCATTCAGAATATAGCCATTCTCGTCTCTTATAACATTCATCATAGGCTGTTTTGAATGTTGCCTGGCAGTTCTTACAAGTTTCCAGAACATTTTAATATTTGCCTGGAAGTTATCCGATATTCTTCTATCATTCTTATCCGTTCTTTCTTGCTTTTTTCTTTCAACTACTTTTTTTACTCTCTTATTAAGATGTTTAAAGACTACCTTTTTTCTTTCAATATCATCATTCGTACCGCTAGAATTACCAGCCTTTGTTGCTAGTAAATCTAGCCATGCTCTCTTCTTTGCTTCAACTTCCATACGTATCTCATCATCCCACCATAACGTATTATTTTTCCTTTCATTCTTTCTCTTACTAACACCACATACTTCGGTAGCTGCATCCACTAAACCTTTCTTTACATTTTGCCATACATTCTCCAAGTCTAACTCCTTCATACATAATTCATCCAAACCACATATTTTCTTTCAGTCTACATTTGAACTTGTTTTTCTCATACTTCATCTTGTAACCTTTCTGTTCTAATACGCTGTAACGTAGTGGTAGACCGCTAGAATTACCAGCCTTTGTTGCTAGTAAATCTAGCCATGCTCTCTTCTTTGCTTCAACTTCCATACGTATCTCATCATCCCACCATAACGTATTATTTTTCCTTTCATTCTTTCTCTTACTAACACCACATACTTCGGTAGCTGCATCCACTAAACCTTTCTTTACATTTTGCCATACATTCTCCAAGTCTAACTCCTTCATACATAATTCATACAAACCACATATTTTCTTTCAGTCTACATTTGAACTTGTTTTTATCATACTTCATCTTGTAACCTTTCTGTTCTAATACGCTGTAACGTAGTGGTAGACACAGGTGATCAATGACGCCAACGCCTGAATAGACCATTAATTCGGCATAAAACCAAATAATGATCCGTTCCTACGTTAGAACCCCGCTAAACCCTTGTATCTACCACTGCGCCACTCAGTCTTTCATCCACAATTATGAAATCTATCATGCTTCTATCGTCACCTCTTTCCCAAGTATACATGTGAATCCTCTTGTGGCGAAAGCAAGTGTTAGTCACAAAAAGATTCTTTTCCATACATACGGTGAGGAGACTTTCACCATTCTCATTTATACTTTCATCACCAAACGTTCCCAATATTCTTTCATAACCAAACCTCCTCACCCCAACCCTTCCATTAAAATCTCCTAGCATAATAACATTTTCATTTCCCTTAGACTTCATTAACACCATCCTTACCATTTCCCAAAACTGCTCTTGGATATAAGTGGGCTTAGACATGTCTGGGGTGTAGACCCCTAACACAAACAACTTCTTTAAGCCCACTTTCATTCGTAATCATAGCAGTCTTGGGCTTACACATTCATACTCTTTCACACATTGGCCCATTCTTTCTGAAAGGATGATACCTACTCCCTGGCATGCCCGCTCGATCTCGTCTACACCAGACCAGTATGCGGTATTCATGCCATGTGTAGTGACTTAAAATATTAATAATTATTAATTTAAAAATAACACTAAAATATACATACGAATACTAGGCGCCCATGAAATATTCTAAGTTAACAGTGTAAAAAGAGCAACATCAAAATTATCTCCGTGAACCCTGCTACATGATGATGATACAGCTGTTACAACCACTAAGTTGAATCGGTTTTGAATTTTACCGGTTCAGTTTCGGTTTTTTTGTTTTACTTGTTCCTTACCTTCGAAACAGCGAACAAAAACATTTGCAAGCTCCTATATAATAGTTTTAAATTAATTTATGTGTTGAACCTTTCCGGTTCAAATTCGGTTTTTTAATTCTATTATCTCTGAAACACTGAATTTTACACATCTCCAAGCCTGTGTAAAATTCAGTGAATCACCGAATTTTTGAACATTTAAAATTACATTCGTATTAACATGTTTGACATTTGGTGTTACGAATTTCATACATTTTTTTTTTATAGAAGAAGGGGCAAACGAGCATGCGGCTCACCTGATGTTAAGTGACTACCGCCGCCCATGATCAACCGCAACACCAGGAGAATTGCGGGTGCATTGCCGGCCCTTTAGAAAGGAGTAAGCTCTTTTCTTGAAGGTCCCCAGGTCGTATCGGTCCGGAAAAATCGCCGGTGGTAAACTATTCCACAGAGAGGTTGTACGTGGAAGAAAACTCCTTGTGAAACGTACAGTGATGGACCGCCAAGCATCCAGAGGGTGTGGATGGTATCGGGACGTTTGACGTGTAGTGCGTTCACGAAATTTGGCGGCTGGGATTAATCCGAACAATTCCTCAGAGCACTCCCCGTGATAGATGCGATAAAATACGCAAAGAGATGCAACATCTCTTCGCAGCGCCAGTGAATCGAGCCGATCGGAAAGCACTCGGTCGTCGACGATTCGAGCCGCTCTGCGCTGGATGCGGTCAAGTGGAAGAAGCTGGTACTGGGGAGCCCCAGCCCAGAGATGGGAACAGTATTCCATGAGCGGCCGAACCTGCGCCTTGTAAAGTTGCAGGCGGTGTGCCGGCATGAAATACTGTCCCGCTCTGCTGAGCACGCCAAGCTTTTTAGAGGCCAATTTGGCCTTCCCTTCCAAGTGACCACGAAACTGCACGTCACTCGATATGTCGACGCCGAGGATTCCGATACTGGCTGAGG